TCTGTAGTCTACAGTGTATAGTGTAAAGTATGAATTTTCAGTATACAATACAGTGTTTAATATACCATGATTCTTGCTGCCATTTTATAACTCCATCAATACATGTGTGATTGCCATTTTTATTTTTAACTTTCAAAGGTCACGAGAAACAAGATATGTTGTATCTTTTTTTTTAATTATTATTGTTGGACTATATATTAGAAGAAAAATTTTTCTTGAAGAATGGAGTCATTGCAATCATTGCTTTTTTTCTAAACATTTTTTTTTAGACATGAATTCTGAATTTCATTACAATGTAGACGATGTTATTCATAATTTTATTTATTAGCTGTTGTTATAAAATATATAAACAACATGTAAACAGTTTATACTGAAGATATTTAAGATATATTCAATATATTTTTATGTATTTATGCGAAGTTTAGTAATCTAACAATGCAAAAAAATTTTAAAATATAAAAACTATCCAAAATATATTACATGTTATAATATTTAGTAGGTGAAATAATAATTTCAGTTTTTTTACGTTCACAAAAATATGAATTTGTAGTTTACTCATGATATTAATTGTTCAATATCTTTTAAACTAGTCGTATTTATTTAGTATAAATTAAATATTAATATCTTTCTAAATAGAACAAGGAAGTGCATCCATTAAAACATTAAAAGCTATGATACTATTTAAAAAAAAAACATAATTGATCTCTATATTCTTAAGCCTTTACATACATGCCTATTTGCAGAAAAATACCATCAATATCAAATGTCTTCTTTCATATCCAACTTTTATTTGAAATATTTTCTTATATAAATAATTTTTAAATAATTTGAAGTTATAAAGTTATCTTACTATTAAGTAGGCACTTCATTTTACTCAAGGCAGAGTAATTTGTATAGTAAAAATTTGTTATTTCATTGTTAATAACACACTATTTCAATCTGATTATGAAATGTATACATATTGTAAATAATGTCAACCCATGAAATTTATAATATCAGTAGAAGTTTCAAATAATCTTTCAAGAGAACAATTGAGTTGAGACTCTTGGTTTAATAAAGGTTATGACGAGTAAAATACAATAGTAACATAAAAAAAAACTTAATTTTAAATTTCAGGATTAAGCTTAATTTTGTATATTTATTTTTTATTCTTTATAGTCTATAAATATTTATTTTTTATTCTTTATAGTATATAAATATTTATACATTTTAATACTAATCTATCAGTGTGTAGGAATAAATATTTTTATTGTACATTTTATAATGATTTATTCCAGCATATTTGAAAAAATATAAACATTTGGAATATTAATTACATAAATCCAGGTTAAGAATTATTTCATCTTCTCATACTAAAAAATTATATCTAAAATGTTAAATTTTATTATGTATTTTTGTAGAATAAAAATAAGTATAGACAACATAATTCTCTTTTTGTTAAACAGTAATTGTAATAGTAAATAATAAATATACTTATGATGATGTATATTCTCAAATAAACAATATTTATAATATTTTTGACTTATACAGCAAAAGACATAATTGTTTTATATTTGCTATTTTATATTTTTAATATTATTATACTTAATTTGTTTTTGGACGTGTATTAATATAATGCCAATTTTGTCACTTAGTTTTATACATTTACGTCGTATTATATTTCCAGCTAATATAGCTCAGGAAATAACGCAATTTGACTTTTCTTGTACATTTCCATCTGCTTTTTCAATCTCAATCAATAATGTATGAAAAATATCTGCAACAGACTAAAACAAAACAAAATTACATAATCATGTAAATGTTATTTTAAAAAAATAAAATTAATTTACCTCATTTTGTTTTGCACTTGTTTCTAAGAAAGCGGCATGCCAAGAATCTGCTAATCGCTTGCCTTGTTCTGTTGTTATCATTCGATCTACATATAAATCGGTTTTATTTCCTACTAATACAATTGGAACACTGAAATTCATAAAAATATATTTTATTAATTGTATTAAAAATGCTATCACACTATTTACATGTATGTAAATTAATAAAGCAAATGTGTAACATACTGGACTTTTCCCGTTATATCCAATAATTTGTCATAAATAATTTGTACAACTTCAAAACTTTTAGCACTTGTTATGCTATATACCAGGACATAACCATGGATATCCATAGAATACTGTGTAGGAAATATACTATATTCATCTTGACCTGCTGTGTCTACCAATTTTACTTCATAATCTTGACTATTTACTCGAGTACTTTTTGTAAACGCTGGAAAACATATAAATATATTGTATAAAAAAAATAGATCAGAATAGGATAGTAGAATCTATATCTTTTAAATTTTTATATCAAATTCGATTGATGTTCAATTACAAAAAATATAAATATGTTTTGCTTTTTCTTTTACAAATTTCAATTAACGAAGCAAAGCATAAATTTGATGATAAGATGTAAGGTGCTACTGCATTCAATAGATTCAATTATAATAAATAAAGAAAAATTGTAAAATATTTAAATTTTGTATGAGATAAGAAAATACTGATAAATTTTCATGCATATTGCTAACAATACATCATGCTGTAACAGAACTAGTTTATCTAATGTTAATGTAATTCATAAGATACAAACCGCACATAATGTAAACTAATTCAGACAATAAAAATTTTCTTATAATTTGAACATTATACACAGATAAAAGTAATTTATAAAAAAAAAAAATTGAATATCATTTCATGAAAACTAAAACAAGTTTATAAAGATTTTAAAATTTTTGTTATGTACTTATGAACTTATGATTTATTTATTTTAAATTATGTACTCATCAAATAATTGCCATTGTATTGAATGATAAGTTTATAATTTTTTCTTTTTTGTAATACTATGTTAACTGTTTTATTTTCATTTTTTTAACATATAAATAATAATCTATACTATCATATTATATTATATATATCAAATTTGAAAAATGTATAATTATTTTATAGTAATTTTACAATATATTTGCATTTTTAATACCATAAAAAGGAAAATAGAACTAAAAATTTTTATATGGAAGACATGTGATATTACACAATGAAAAATTAGATTCAGTTTATGCATTAATTAATTTTTTTAAATACAATTTTTAATAACGAGTCAAATTTTTAACAATGAGATCCTATCATAAGAATAAATAATAATATATTTTTTTAATTAACCATTACAAAATTCTAAAGTTTTGATTATAAAATTCAAATAATGATATTATTAAATGAAAATTAAATTTACTTACATTTAAAATAATAATAATATTATAAAATTCCTTAGCATATAATGTAAATAATATTAAATGTTATGTATAAAACTAGATTAATACTTTAGTTATAAAATATATTAATACTTTAGTTATTAAAATATAAATGATTTAACATGTTCATATATCATAAAAAATTATTAAATATGTATATACTTTAATATTGTGTATATAGTACTAAAATATTACGAATGTATATAGTACTAAAATATTATTTAAATATATTAAAATATATTATCTGAATATAATCACATAAGCTGTAAAAATAATTAAAGATTAAATTTGCAAAATATGTCATTACAGTTAAGAAAATAATAAATATGGAGAAATTGTATGTTAAATATCTTTATAAAAAATAGATATTGGCAGAAATGATCAGATATAGGTTATTTTTACTTTAGACGCATCAGAAAAATCCATAGATATGATCTCTTCTTGTAAGAAAAAAGAAATAAAATTTATACGCGTACACGGTATTCTTACAAGAAATTAAAATTAGTAAAAAGATGTTTTGACTAATATTATTTGTATTGTGCATTTTTTGCAGGTCAAGCAATGGAAGAGTTTTTGAAAACAACTTTGTTTTTCTAAATGGAACCATATGATCTTCATTAAAATTCATTAACTAATTTACTTAGGTATTCCCTACAAAAAAAAATATTAAGCCATATCGGAAAAACAATTTAGTTTTTGTTTTAGTCTTATAATAGACAAGCACAACACAAACGCAAAAGTATTGTTCATATCTTTCCATATTTTTCATATGACATAGACTTCACAAGAATAAAATTTAAATATGTATCTCTTGTGAGATATTCTATCATTTTCAATTAAATAGAACATCCTATAAATATTTTTTTTTAACATGTAATATCTCAAAAGTATTTAGATATTTATGCTGCAAAAATTTTCATACATATATTATGTGTTATTTTCAATTTCATTAATATTGTAAAGAAAAAAGATTATTATAATTATATTGGTAAAATATAAAACCAATCTAAAAATGTATATAGGAGTAACAAAATATTTCTTGCAAACATTATTTGATAAAAAATTAATATACAGCATGATACGCTATCATCTTATTAAATGTCATAGTCTTACTAAATATTGGTGTAATAGCTGTTTAAGTAATTTTGTAATCTCTATAAAATATATGTATACTTTAAACATCTTATAGTTTCTATATTTATTTTTAAATTTATTTCAAACTTGATCAATATAGTCACGATAGTCAGTTATCACTATTTTATATAACACATAATATATTCATAAATTTTCCTTATAAGTTTCAAAATACTTTTATGAAAATATATGGATATATTTTACATGTAGTATCCTAGAAATCATAAGTTTTTTTGAAAGATAAATATAAATCAAGTCTAAAAGTGTTAATATTTTAAAATATACTTTATACTTTATAATAAAAAGGAATTTTTATATTTTAGTGAACTTTAAATGCAAAATCATTTAAAATTATATGAAAAAAATTAACAGAATTGGTCTGTTAATTGATATATCAATTTGCGATACTAATAACGATTATGCCAAAAACACAATGTTTTCAATATAAAAACACGATGTTTTCAATAAATTCATAAAATAGAATATTATATTTAAAAAACAAATATATTAATAAATCGATTAATAAATTTTGTTAGAATTTCTATTTAATTTTGAAATGTAAATTATAAATTTATAAATATTATAACATCCTTTTAAGAATCATCTCTTTGTCCTTAAATAATTTCCTTTGAAGAATAAAATTCCTGTTAAATAAAAATAAAACAATTTTAATATCTTCACATAATTATAGATCATCAACTTTTCAAATACAATTACAAATAACCATAATTGGAAACATTAAATTTAAAAGTTGATAATCAAATATAATATAAACATATTAAAGACTTTTATTTCTATTTTAGAAATTTTTAGTTTGTTTAATTAGGTCCAATAAAATATCTTTAATAAAACATTTATCCATTCAGTAACAAGTTTTCATGAATCTATTGCTTGTTTACAGCATGAATTACTAACAAAATGTGCAGAAAATACTACTAACAATGTCATTAGAAATCTTTGAAGTAGCGTGTAAGACGATACAGGTACTTCTTACTATTTTCTATAGTAGGGTCATATGAATCCACGAACTGTCCCTCGACGAACTGTATGCTCAGTGATGACTTGCCTATTAAAATTAAAGAAAGAAATAATAAGCGTTAAAGGCATAAATTTTTACATGTAAAATACATAGTATATAAATATGTATAGTTTATTATATTCATATTATTGTATAAATAATATAAATATGTTTTACATATATATTAAATAAATTATATAATTACAGAAATAACTATTTTTAAAAATATTAATTAATATAATAAGTCTAGGTCTAAAAAATTTTAGAATCTAAATATGATTTAAACATGCTAGAAAACAAATAATTAATTGATAACATGATTAATAATATTTATTAATTATGTTATACATAAGTTTTATATTCCATTTACAACAATAATTTTTCATTACCTACGGATCTGTAACCCATAATAGCTATTTTCCTCTGTTTTGGAGGCATCTTTCAGCATTTATAAACAGAAACGCTGCAAGTGTAGTCCATAAAGGCTGGTGCATACTCCAGTTAGAACCTATACATAAAAATTGATTTATAAATATGTAAATTTATATTTCTTTTTGATAAAAGAATATATTTTTATATTTGTATCATTTGTAGATGATATTTCTAAACGATTATTACAGTAATAATTCCATAACTTACATTATGGATTAAAATATAACATACATATCAAAATAACAGAAATTATAAACAATTAAATAAATAATTAAACAATAATTCTACAAATATAATTAATTTCACAATATTTACTTCTTGAAACTGTTACTTAGTCTGATTACATCATAAATGTTTTAAAAATTAACTACGACATTTTTAATTATATATATAGATTTATCACATATTTATACTTTATTTTATAAAAATTACTGATTGTAATTCTAACTTCAATCATAACAAAAACGTCATATACGCAAAATATGAATATAATAGATTATTTTCGTCGTGGAAATATATTTTTCATACAATCATTAAATAAAAGCTATAAAAATGTACAAGAACGCATATAAATATCTATATAT